TTAAATATATACAAATTAAAATTATAATATAATTTAAATTTTTAATTTGTTATATTATTATTATTAAGATTATTTTATTATTTATTCATATTAATTTAACTATATATTATTTAATAGTAATATTTATATTGTTATTTAATAATTTAAATCATTTGTGTATTTTCTTTCAAAAAATAATGCTATATTATAGTATTATAATTTCATTTATTTAAATAATTAATATTAAATTATAATTATTATATGATATTTTAACAAAAAATATATTATTTATTTTAGTTTCTTATAGTTTTTGAAAAAAATTTAATGTGAATATAAAAAATTTTATCACAAATTCCATATTTTTTGTTGTTTATTTTTTTGAAATTATTTATTTTTGAACCTTTTTTCAACTTTTTATGTTTTTAATCCAAAATGATAAATAAAAATTACACATTTTGTGATTAAATTTCGATTATTTTTAGTTTGTTCATAAAGGGGTGGAAAAACCCGCTTTTGATAATTTACTAGTAAAATGATAATATGATTATAGTTTTTTGTATAGTTTATTTTTTTCCTTTTCCTCGATTTGATTCAAAAAACAAGGTTTACAAAAATATATATTACTTTTTCAAGATGCCAATGTTTGTTATTGAAATTTGTGAATTATTTTTTTATGTAAAATAAAGGCTGGATTTGCCGAATGATAAAAGGAGGAGCAAGAAAGATTGACTTCGAAACTGTTCTTTAAAGCCAAAATAACCAAAAAAACAACTCAGAATTTATCAAATAAAATGAACTTTTTATTAAATATTTTTTCAATTTTTTGCAGAAATAAAAAACTCAAAAACACTAACCCGCGAGTGTACCTTTTTTTCACACCCCCTTTCACTCCTTTATAATTTTTTTTCGTTTTTTTTAATCGTCCATTAAACAAATACTCAACAGTCAAATCGATTACCTCTCGAGCAACATAGTTAATACACAGGCCAGCACATGTTTTTAATAAACCACTTTTCAATGTCTCTCAGCAAAGACCGACTGCACCTTTATTTCACACCCCCCCTTGTTGGATTCCTCATTCGCTCAGAAATGCATTTCACTGCCAAACTGAAAAAACACACTTTGGACTTACTCACCAACTGAACGTGAGTGCATCCATTCCCAGCTGTTTTTCAAGTGCCTGTCAAGCAAGCGATAAATGACTCGTTATTTTGTTGTACTTGCTTTTTTGAAACTTTTAATAAAATAAACGAAGCAATTTATTAATATTGGTCAATAAAAACAATGTAAGACGGATAATTTTGTGTAAATTATCAGAAACGGTAAAAGGGCGCTGCACATGTCCGTTAGAATTTCTCGTGTTTTTTAGCCTTTTTTTCACAAAAACCTCAATTATTTGAGGCAAATTGAAACTTTGGTTATAATTGTGTGTAATTTTATCAGGAAATGGTCGTAAATCGGTTTTTCCCACCGTGCAGAGAAATGTTAAAAAAGACTGGGAGGATACTGTGGACGATCCGAAAGTGCGGCAATCATTTCTGTATGGTGAATAAATTCAAGTTTATTGTGTATTTTTGTGTGTTATTCAATACATTTGGTTAAAAAATATTTGTATGCCGAGAAAAAACACACTATTTTTTCACAATTTAAAAGGGCAATATTTGGTTATTGGATAAGTTTTTATAATAAAACAATAAGAATTTGGTTACGAAAAGACAAAAAAGATCTAAAGCGGTTTTTCGCCACCGTATTATTTTTTATTTTAAAACTCGGCAAAATGCCAAAAAACGTTATTTTTCTATACAATAAAACAAGTAAATGGTAGTGAAGCGGGTTTTCCCGCCAGCCAAAATGCTTGCCCAAAAGTGCATTTCAATAAAAATTGTTGAAAACATCATGGAGACAATGACTGTTATCAGCCCAATACGTTATTAAGAAGACATGGTACCAAAGTGAAAGTTGATGTGTTATTTATTTTAGAGGGGTTCTTAACCCTTTATCCACTAATTATAAAAAATGATTATCAACAACTTTCTTACTATTTGATGGACGATATTGTCCATTTTATTACAGTCAATATATGTAACATTTTGGGATTTAAGCACATACTTTTATAAAAAAAAATAAAATAATTATAAACATTTATAAATTTAATATAATTTATACTATAACTTGTTTCAAAAATTGATTTGAATGGTGGGTCTGAAAAGTAATGAAAACCATTTAACACTTGTATAGTTCAAAAGAGACACACAAAGACAACCACGGCTTCGATACGTTGTGTCAAATGAATCAATTCATGATCATTCTATTCGGATTTGAGCATAAAAAATGATAATTATGGTTTTTATAATTATATAATAGTAAATTTATTAATTTTATTAGTAAATTTTAAATTCAGATATGGTTAAATTATAATAATAAATAGTTAATTTTTTATTTAATACAATTCCATTTTTATCTTTCGCAATGTCATTAATTATAATATAAATCATAGATTGACAACATATTAAACATTTAAAAACAAAATTATTTTTCATTTGACAATATCCAAGCAAAATAATTACATAATGCACTAACTTTACTAATAATCAAAATTTACATACTTGGTATTGTTTTATCGCAAACATGATCTTAAAAAAATGTAAGTTCTTTTTTTTACCAATTATAAGGGTTTATAAGGAGATCTCCAAAAGCGACGATATCAAATTATCTCGTTCATTGCAAGGTCAAACAGTTTGTTTATTATGTTTAACATCATCAAAACAACGACAGTGACAACTTGGACTTGAACTCGTGTGTTTATGAAGACAAAATAAAGCACAAAAACAACAATAACAAAAAGACTTAATTTAAATTACTCTGAAGATAAGGAAGATGATGAGGCAGACTGCAAAGATGATAATTTGGTTTGTTGATTCAAACCATATAAGACTAACAAACACTGCGTTTACTACACTAATATATTATAATAAAATTTAATTAAAAATTTATGTACAGTGAAAATACGTCTGAAAATGATGGGAAAATAGTTTAAAAATGACAGATTTTATTTTAAAAGGACAAGATTTTTAATAAAAAGGATGAAAATCATAAAAAGTGATGGAGATTTGTTTTAAAAAGGACAGATATTTTTATTGAAAAGGACAGGATTTTTGATAAAAAGGACGAATTTCGAAAGAAATGATGATTTTCATGAAAAAAAGACAGGAATTTATTATAAAAAGGATGGGATTTTTGTTAAAAGGATGGATTTCAAGGAAATGTGACAGCCATTTTTTGAAAAAGGATAACATTTTTAACAAAAAATAGATTTTTTAATAAAATATAATTTATTTCCGACATTTTCCCGATTTTACACATAAAAACACAAACAATTAAAATACCATAATCAAGTTTAAAAAAAATAAATCTGATAATGAATAATTAAATCATAATAAGAAAGAGCGTTTTAACGCAATTTTAAATCTTGATCTTATTAATTGATATAAATGTCACAATCTTTGACTTCTATCGACTCCAGAGACCCGATAACAAGGAATGAATTTATTGAAAATCCACCACTTATCCAATGGAATGAACAACAGCGCCAGGTTGAATCTAAAACACCTTTTATTTTTTAAGCTACTTAGAGAAAAAGAGGAAGACTTAATAGATATTTTATGGAATTGATGAAACATTGTGACAACAACAACATTTCAGCAGTGTTTTGGTGTGACAATTGAACTATACACAACCATTTGAGGGAACCAGTAATTAACACTCAACATTTAGTTGTTTATAACGCAGCCTACAGCTCTGAACTCAACCCGATAGAAACTATTTTTGGTTTTTGGAAAAGGCGTGTAGAAAATGACATACGTATTTAGTCTGGCCTTGGCGATTTTCTTGAAAAAAATAAAGATTTATTTCAATTCAACAAGCTGAAGTAATAGCGTCGATGGAGAGATGTCGCAACGAAATTTGGGGAAAAGCATAAAGAAAAGACTTATAATTTCAAATTGTTTGTGTTTTTATGTGTAAAATCGGGAAAACGTCGGAAATAAATTATATTTTATTAAAAAATCTATTTTTTGTTAAAAATGTTATCCTTTTTCAAAAAATGGCTGTCACATTTCCTTGAAATCCATCCTTTTAACAAAAATCCCATCCTTTTTATAATAAATTCCTGTCTTTTTTCATGAAAATCATCATTTCTTTCGAAATTCGTCCTTTTTATCAAAAATCCTGTCCTTTTCAATAAAAATATCTGTCCTTTTTAAAACAAATCTCCATCACTTTTTATGATTTTCATCCTTTTTATTAAAAATCTTGTCCTTTTAAAATAAAATCTGTCATTTTTAAACTATTTTCCCATCATTTTCAGACGTATTTTCACTGTATATTTGGTTATATTTCTTACGATTGTAAGCTGTTTCCTGTTTTCTTTCAAATAAATTCTGTAATAACTCAGCTTTTCATTGTAGTATAAATAGACTTTAACAGCCTTATTCTAAACACTTCGAAAAAATGCTCAGGCAAAATGAAAATGATTTTTTTTTCTTTTTGTTTAAATAAAAAAATAAAATCAAATAACATTTAGAAAACATTTTACCATTATTCACCAAAAATTATCAAAAGCGGGTTTTTTCTTGAAGCGGTTTTTTTCCACCCCTTTAATTGTTTTTTTTTTGTGGATTAATGGGGTAAAAAATAAAAAGTTTAGTGTTAAATTCTAATTTGGACAATTTTCACGGACCATGGATAAGGTAATATATTTACTCCCCAATGTGATTTTATGTTGTTCATTTACAAAAAGTTACTCATCAATTCTTATTCAAACCAAACATTATTGTTTTTATAAAAAATGTCTTAAATAACTATTTCTCACAGTCCAATTTGTTGTTTTTTATTCTTTAACTTAATAATATCTATTCATTTAAAAATAAACTATTAATATAGAATTTGTTTTAGTAATAAAAAGGTGGTGGATAATACAACATATTTACGTTATGGCGCGATTCGTGGTGACCAACAAACCGTTATTTCTTCTCCATCTTTTCAATTTCTTTCTTCTCGTCGGATGCTTTGATGGATCTTGATAGCCTTGGCTTCCCACTTCGTTTATTGAGGTGGAGGCAAATTTCAGTCTCCATCACGTCTTTGACTAAGTCCACGTTATTCGAGCATTTGTCACAGAAATACACGCGCTTACAGTCTAATTGTTATCACATCGTTGTTAAGATAAGTATTTGTAATACTTAAATAGTATATTGATAGTAATTATTAATAAATTAATATTATAATAATATTATAGTATTATTATAGTATTATTATAGTATTATATTGATACACAAACTTTTACAAGTGAGACCCCCTTTACTAAACTTTTTGTCACATGTGTAACAAGTGTGTGTTGTTGTATCTTTGGGGTCGACAGGTATCCAATCGTGGCACATGTTACTTGTTTGAACGATTATAAGACCATCACTCTCGCTACTCACCACACATATCCATTCCTTTTTATTTGAGGAACGTTGTTTAATATTCTCATTACTCAAAAAGACTTCGGTGACATCAAATAAGACCGACTTTGTGAGAACGTGGTTAGCGACCAATTCAAGTGATTCACAGTCATAGACATTCACAGTACCGTCATGCTGCAACACCCACATCTGTTTTCCAATCAACTTAATTTTGGTCGGGTTAATTGGTATAGTCTTTTTGATGGTCGCGTTGTCGATATCTAAGACAAAGATTTGATTTGTGTATACTGCCCATATACTATTCAGTCCTCTCACAACTTTTGACACTTCCCCAGTGATACTCCCTTTCAGCATAATACATTTCTTTTTCTTGACATCATACAACCCGATCCCCAATATCAGTTCCTAACCACATCATTCTCTTCTTCCCTTCTACAATGGTGCCACTCCGTATCTCACATGGCGACAACACATCCTCCGCCTTTTTCTTCTCATTTTTGATATCCAACGTATACAACACCTTTTTCGCTGTTAAGACTAAGACTTTACTCTTCGCCTTGAACATCTCGATAATACTCCCACCCTCTTCTAACTGGAAATTCGTCTTTAACTCGCGTGTGTCTCGATACAAGACATCTATCGAATTATCTCGCTTCGCAACACACACAAACTCGTTCACTCCAATCACATCAACAACTTCTCCAATCACAGAGAACTTGTTGATGTATTTATCAATCTGTCTCGGGACATACGAGTACACAACGGTCTCTCCATTGACAACATCTTTGAACGCCCACAACTCCTTCCCCGTCCAACACACAAACTTCGTTCGAATTTTGTCATTATTTTCTTCCGAGTAGTCATCTTTCATTTCTTCTTTTGTTTCTTCTTTCATCCCAGTCGACAACGGCGATTGCGCCGATAACGCACTTGGGCATTCCTTCGGTTCAGTGACTTTTGAGAGTTTTTGTGTCAACAATGAGAAGTTGCTATACTTCGGCATATCCCCAATCATCGTCGGTCTTCTTCTCCTCAAAATTTGGTTATTCATGACGTTCGTCGCTTGTTCGCTCGTACTGACTGTCGCCGGAATAAACGCCAATGATTTCTTTTGTGTGTGTCCCGCCAGCGTCGTTTTACTCTTTTTGTCAAATTTCATTGAAAATTGGATGACGTCGACCATCACGTTGTGATAGACGTGGAGATGTGGCGCCACTTTCTTCATGAACGTTGCGAAATACGCTCGTGTCGACACCTCCTTATATATATCCTCGTACGATGTGATTCTCTTGACTGTTTCCAGCGTACTCACTTTAACAAAACTGTCGATCGTTTCTTTCAGCTTTGCGTAGCATTGCGCTTGAATGTGTGTGAACATATAAGGGTGGTACATATTATGTTTCTGAATTAAATTGAATTCCTCATACGTCGCAGTGTCAAATATACCATGAGGTACTACTGTCGTAAATTTATTGATCAAAGCAAGAGCCTCGTCCTTCATTTGTACATTATTGGTGTTGACATCATTACTCTCCCCTTTAAAACTCAAAATCCCTTTCTTTGGAGTCTTCAATTTCGAGATCTGCTCCGCTAGCTTCGCTTCAACATCCATCTTCTCCTTCTTAAGCTTCTCACAGAGACTTTCTAAGTCGTTTTTGTTGGAGAGCTTCCGATTGAGAGTATCATTTTCAGTACGAAGGTTTAAGTTCTCCGATTTACTCTGCATCAAGTTCTTTTCTAAGACTTGAATACTCAATTTCAAGTCGCGCTTCTGCTCGTCTAAATTCTTCTTGACAACTTCTGCTTTGATCACTTCGTTGCGCTCCAATTTGAGGACAACGGAAAGCTCAAGTTCATTTAAAGATTCTTTGTTCCCCGAATTTTCAAGTTGGCCAAGGCGACTATATAAGGCAGCTAAGTCTTCACTGTCTTTGATCTTTTGGTCAGATAGTTTCTTATTAGTTGCAGTTAAGTCTTTTAAATCATTAAACATCGTTTTGATGGTGTCGGCTGCTTTTAATAGTTTACTATTATTGTCAGTGAGTTGTGAGTTGAGCTGATTGCGTTCTTTTGTCAAAACGGTAATCTGCTCAGTGTATTGATTTCTCGTTGAGTCCAATAGTTGTTTATATTCGGCAATCTTCGACTGCATCAAATCAATGATTTCTTGGAGTCCTTGGCTCGAATCACTGGCGCTCGTTCCAGCACTCGAATCTTCAGATGTCTTCGAAGCTTTGGAACTCTTGGAACCTTTTGAAGTTTTTGAATATTTCGATGAGGAGCTGTGTGAGGTTTTTGACTTTTCGGTTGAAGAATAAGACGCTGACTGCGATTCTGAGGAAGAAAGAGAAGGAAGAAAAGTCTCAGTTTTGTTGTTATTTTCGGGGTGATCACTTTTCTCGGGGTTGGTTTGAGAGGCTGTGATTTTTTTGGAGGAACGGGGACTGCCTTGTAAAGGTGTCGGCGTTGATAAGTGTTTCATTTTTGATTTCTTTGATTATATTAATTTTTTTTGAGTGGGTAAAAAATAATTTAAATTTATGTCACATAATACTAATTTTTTGGGTATTTTTGATTAATTAAATTTATTAATTTTCATTTTAATTTTTATTAGTTTTTGATTTAACAATAATTTTTATTTTTTAATATAATTTATAGTATATTTAGGTTATTAAAAATTTGATTTAAACAATAAAATCAATTATATGGTTTATTTATTATAAATTTACCACATTTATAATCATGTTTTAACAATTAGAAATTTGATATTTGTTTTTTCTATTTTTAAGTATTCTAAAAATATATATAGCTACTCTATAATTTTTTAATTAATAAATCAAAACTAATAAAATCAATTATTTTCAACAGAACTTTTCTGGTAGTTTTTATTTTTTTATTTCTAACTTTTTAATTATTTTGTTATTAAAACGTGTTTTTGCACCTAAGAAAACATTTTTTTGTAAAAAAGCGATTTTATGGAAACTGAGAAAGTGAAATGTAACATATTTAAAATTTTCAGTTTGAGTGTTAACAAGAAGAATATTTTATATGTAGAATGTATCTAAATGTTATGTTGAGAATTGTGAAATATTCATATTTTCATAAATACACATCTATTTTCATAAAACAATCAATTTGAACAACAAAATATTATTTGTTCATATTAATTAATTAGACACCAACATATTCTCGAGAAGTTGTACAAAGTCCTCGTCTTGAAAATGCGCGTAAAATACTTCACAGTGAACTTCTTGGCTTTTATCCACTGTTTTGTCATTAAATGCATCATAAAGAGGTTTAATAGCAGAGACATTGGACACAATAACGACACCAGTCTGACTACTCGCCTCTCTGAACAGAAAAACTTCTTTATAAAACGTTGAAATCGCGTTCTCGACTTTTCTTACAAAGTTCTGTTCGGTGCATCTCCTTGAAATGTTTTTTACAATCAACGTGTTGCACCCATCGTCTATGACATTTCCGTCGTCATCAAATCTGATGTTTTTCTTTTCAAAACTTTCCTTCCCAATTTTCTCGGTTTGAGACTTCTCTTCCTTTTTATTTAAAACTGGATTCCCAACTTCCACAAACTCCATCCACCCTCTTCCCGCCTGTCCTATATAGTCATCAATTAAATCAACCATCTGTGGCGGTGCTGGGAATGCGGGTATGTCACTTGGCAATTGTAATGCCTTTCCGATCGAGTTAATAACCATATATTTCGTGTTGTTTGGTTTTGAATTTTCGACTTTCATTTTTTTTCCATTGATACACACGCCGTCCATCTTTTTTAAAGCCGCCTCTGCGCTTCTTGAATCGAAGTATTCGATGAACTTATGTTGCTTCTTCGACGGTGCCTCTCTGATTTCTTTCATCTCGCCAAACTCCCCGAACGCGCTTTTAAGATCCTCAACACTGAAAGTGTATTCGGCATTGAATACAACTAATGTGGCATGGTTGTCAGTCCAAGGAACATCATTTGGGATCCCAAACGTTATCTCCAATTGATGTCCCTTATACTTCCTTCCATTAATGTATTTCGCTGCACTTCGTGAAGCTCTTATATCATAATACGTCACAAATATAAATCCGCAGCTGACCGTCTTCCAATAGACTCCTTTGACGTCTCCATATTGCTGGAAAATCTCTTCAACTTCTGCTCGGTCAAAGTCACTTGGGATGTTCTTCACATACAAAACACGACTTGGGTGTTCACCATACTGGAAATGATAGAGTGACTCCAAATCACTCTTCGCTGCTTTGACATCTTCAGAGCTCAGCAAATTCATTGGGACGCGCCCAGTCTTGTACATAAACTGGGTTCTCTCTCAACAACCCCCCTTTTATACTCCATTTCTCTTTCCGCAATGACAATCTTGTCATTCTCATTTTTTTTGGCCTTTCTCAAATTCATATTACTATTTATTACTATTTATTACTATGATTAAAATAGTTTGTTCCCAAATTATTGTTAATATATCGTTAATTCATTTTATTATTCAGTCTGTTTGTTATAAATTATTTTTTGTTTTTAATCCATTCGTAAATTTTGAAAAACTTTTTTTTGTAGTGAAATTATAATTCAAAATATATTATATTTAATTATAAATTATAGTTTTATTTATTTAAAAAAAGTGAATTAAAAAATAGTTGTTGAGTCTTTCCCAAAATTGTTAAAAAAGAAATAATTACATAACGAAAAAAAGCAAAAAAGCAATTTTGAAAGAAATAATTAAAAAAAAAATATTTTAAATGGAAAAAGGAAGCAAAACGAAAAAAAGACTTCAAAAAAATAAAATAAATCAATAAAAATTTTTATTTATTGTAAAAAAAATAAATCATAAAACTCAAAAAAACGTCCGATAAAAAAATCTCCAATAAAAAATGAGAGGAGTGGAATGACAGTCGATTAAAGCCCAGATTTTACACGGCGTGACAAGAAACCCCAAACGACACCGGAAGAAATCAAGCCTCGATGGCGGCTTTCTTTTTCTGGAATTCAAGTGAGTTTTTAAACTCGAAGATATACTGCTTTGTGGTTGACGCAGGGGTGTCGTTGATGACATTCAAATAATCCCTAACAAAACTATCATTGGCAACAGCTTTCTTCGCTTTGTACATCCGGAAAATTTCTTCCTCTTTTGGTGTCGCTGTGATGAACTCGGTACGGTATGTTCGGTTGTCTTCTCTCTCGGGGATACGGCACACTTTCTTTGGACGCTGTTGGTCGCGTGGAGCGGGGGATGTCTTTGGAGAGTATTTCATTGGTGAATTTGACTTTTCAGGCATCCCACGAATGTCGTCCATTGTGTAAAACCCTTTCTTGGGGCCGTCTGATCGTCCCTGGTAATCAGACTTTGCAAACTTGGTCGGACTTCTCGACATTTGGACTTTGATTTGTTGTTTCGAGTTTGTGAGGTTATATTTCCAAAAAATAAAAACCAATGGAAGAAAAAACATATAGTATATATTTACTATTTTAATAAATATACTTGTTTTTAACAAATTTTTAAAAGTGGTTATTACTATATTTAAATGGTTTTTTAAATTAAATTTTTTGGTTCTGAATAATCTGGTTTATACAATAAACCTGGTTGTAAAAAGAGAATAATCAATGTAAATAGAATCAATATTTGTATTACAAAATATTTAATTGTTTATTCAAATCAATACACAAAACCATGACAAAAACTCAAAGATCACTTATTTATTGTGTAATTCATATGCTGGACAAAGAAACTTGACTTTGCGTTACACAAATTTTTTCTTCCACCAGCTGTAGCACAGAATGTAAATGGAAAATCTTTGACATTTTGGTAAGGCCCAAGATCCGCATTCAGGTTATCTCCCCAATAATTCTGGAAGGATTTGACTTGGTCACCAACGAAATACTCGATTGCAGGCAAGTGCATACGCACAACAGCGAGCAACGATCTCCAATCGTATCTGAACGAAATGTACTTTCCACCTCTTGCGGTCTTTAGCATATCATACGCTTCATCAACGTCGTTTCTCAGTGTTTTCCAGTCAACGTTATCAAAAGGCAATGTAGACTCTAATATTTCCAAAAAGTACTCGACATCTTCTTTGCTCAGGTCATAGTCGTAAACCTCCTCACCTGGCGCCGAGTCTACAGCTTTGCACACCACTCTAATGTCTGTGGAGTGTCCACCATAACCATCGAGCTTACAATCCAAACATGGGTCCATATTGGCATCGCAGGTGCCTAACATTGAAATCAGTTGTGTGTCAAAGACTCCTCTGTTGTATGTATACATCGCCGTCGCAAATTCAAGCGAGTCTCTCGCCTCTCTTGTCTTTCTCTTTGCCATCGCTTCCCCAAGTCCAAGTTTTTTCATTTGCATTACAAGGTTGTGTCTGAAATGGAAATCAAGTGACGACAAAATGAATGCTCTTCCCGGGGTCAGTGTGAAAAAGTCGTGGTACTCTCTAAAGCCAGCGCTGGTGAGAACTTCGTTGTCATACATGTACAAAATCTTTCTCTTGTCTTTTGGAATTGTTTCGTCTCCAATATAGAATCGGTTCGGCAAAATTGCAACATCTGTTGCCATTCCTCCTGTCTCAACCTGGAACGGCCCGTCCAAATTTCCGTCTCTGCAAAGTCCTCTTTGCGAAGCAGAGTAACAGTCGTAGTGTTCGTTCTCTTTCTCAACAATAAAGTACGAACCGTCATCGTTTGCTGCGAATCTTGAGAAACTGAACGATTCCTTTGCACCAAGTCCCACTAACATTCCAGGGTTGAGTCCGTATGCGTCCATTGCGTATCCCAAAAACAGACCATAATATTTGTCTGGCAACCTGATAGCTACGCCTGGTGTGTACGAGAAAGTCACTGTTTCGCTTGGTCTTCCTATCCAAATTTGTGTTGGGTTTGTATCGTACTTGGCAGGTGGGTGAAGCGAGCATTCATACGTCGAGTCTGTTGGTTTGTATAAGTCCTTATTGTTGTAATCTTTGTAACTCAAAACCTCCTTTAGCTGTTTCTGCCAATTGCTTTTCTCAAACTTTAAGACGAGAGGTAAATGGGTTGTTGGAGTCATGGAGTAAACACCCGCTTCGACATCTGGCCAGTCTGGATCATAAGGCTCTTCGTTAGACGAGTCTGGAAGAATTGGATTATCAGAGCTTTCTGGTGTTGGTGGGAGAGGTGTTTCGGATGATTCTGGTATAGGTGGAATTGGCGTGTCTGATGATTCTTGTGGTGGAGTTGGTTCTTCAGAGGACTCGGGCTCTACGGGAGTATCCCCAAAATACTTCCCTGGTTCACCGTCGCAAATTGCCAAGTCGCTCCATGGCCAAGCACATGGATTGTATATGGTAAATCCGCACTTACAAACGAGTCCCGCTGGGCAGTCCGTTGTTTTGTAAAGGCTCTGTCCATAACACCAATTATACTTTGTTTGGTCGACGCAGTAGAATCCGACATCCAACCCATCGCAATTAGTTCTTTGAGCAGTCTTGTTAAATGCCAAGCTTAAAGCAAGGCACAGCAAGCAGAGTACAATGAAAGTGATTTTCATTTCGAATGCTTTTCCTTTTTTTTCCTGGGCTTAAATGTTCTCTCGTTCCATCATATGAGAAATGACGATTATGTGATGACTTGTGATTGTTCAATCTTACTTTTCAAATAATTTTTTAGTTTTTCCAATACATCATTGTAATTAATATGTTAGTTTGTTATTTAGAAAATTATGTTAATTTATTTTATTATTGTAGTAAACTATTTAATAAACTATAATATTAAATATATTAATAATTAAATTAATATAATACTAAATATTATAAAATAAATTAACAAATTGATTACAAAATGTGTGACGAATTAAAAAAGGACTTTTTTGAAGAAACAATTAAAAAGGTTTTTCTTTGTTTTGCACAAGTTTCAAACAAATAGTAAATTATAATATAAATAATAATACATTTTACAAAAGCCAATAAAACATCAAACAACAAAGTCAAAGGAATGCCATCATGAACTCAAAAAGACTAATCATCGCCGATGGAGAATTATCCCCCCGTTCCTTTTCCGAAACGTCAAGCCCCGAAGCAAACAAGCTTAGGCTCGTTCTTTACAACTCTTGCAACAAACACGATGAACACATTATCGTCATCTTTAGTTCCGCACTATACGTATGAAGGGAATCCATACATCTTCAACACTGTGTGTGACTGCCTCAATCGTATGGATTATACTGGTCTTGAGTATCAATGCACCAACGGGATTCCCGCGGAGTTGCGGTGTTACATTTGGTATGCTTTGTTACTTCGACCGACGGATCCATGGGAGATTCGTGCGTTATATTCGGAAGCTCAGGGTACTCAATATCGAAGTATGCAGTCGATGTTGAAGAACATTGACTCTGCGGGGTTACAAGAGATGCAAGAGATCTCGAAGATTGATTCGAAGACCTTACGAGTGATCGAGTGCGATATTGTGCGAACATTTCCGGAAGGTGCGGAGTATTTATTTAAGATGCCTGAGATCGTTCAAATGCTCAAGAGGATATTGATCATCTATTCTATTATTCATACCAATCGTGGATACTTCCAAGGACTGAATGATATAGTAGGGTTACTCATTGTGGCGTTTTTAGAGCCAAGACAATATGATGGAGTGTTTGTATTACCAACAGAAGACGTTTTATTTCAAAGTGAGAGTACTGTTTACTTCATCTTAGAGAGTATTATGGAGAAGTTATATCCAAACAACTCGACGGTGTTTCATGTGGATCATTTGATGACGAAATTCATTAACACCATCGACGATTACTTTGACTTGATTGCGGGGAGTCAAATCAATCGACCAAATAGTGATATTGTGAAACAACAAACATACCGCTGGTTTGTCTGTTTGTTCTCGCGGGAGTTTCATTATCATATGACCTTTGCGATCTGGGACAATTTTATAGTTCGGAATGGATTCACCGAGTTCATCATCTTCTTTGCATTAAGTATGATCCTTACTGTCACTGGGAAGTATAACACTTCCGACATCGAGAAGTTCAACGACTCACTCAAAGCGTTTTTGAATCAAATGAAGGGTGATGACTTGTGTGGGATTATTACGACTGCTTATACGCATCAACAGTCATTTAACACTATAGGAAATGTTGTTTATTGAATTACTTTGGTTATATTTGATTCAATCAATTTGGATTCATTTCAATAATTGAATGGATCAAAGCTTCAAGTTGGTTCAGTGAATATAAATGCAATCAATTTCAATTCTGTGTGTTGTCTTGTACATTCTCGTCAGGTTCTGCGGGCTCTTCTTCATATTCGATATTGATCTTCGGGCCTTTCACATCAGGGTATTCGATGTCCTTCTTGTCTTTCTCTTCTTTATAATCTTCACGTCAATTCTTATCAAATGGATGAGATTAACAAACTTTGAGCCCAATCTTCGATGTCCTCCGACATGTCTTCTTCATATTGAACTAATTCCTCTTCCAACTCCTGTTCGATTTGTTTCTCATCGACTGGGGCTTGTGGGTTCAACATCATGTCTTGTAAGTTTTCATAGATGTCGCCATATACTCCACTCTTCAATCTTTGAAGCAATTGGTCTTTAATGACTAAATCAATTTTGGCCATACGCTCCGCCTTCTCCGCTCGGGCTTTATCAACTCTGTCTTCCTTCACATTCACTCGTTCGAGTGTTCTGTCGTTCGATTTGGAGAGTTGCTTTGCTCGCTCAAGATACTGATAGACTTTGGTAAGACGTTGTTTGACACGATGGATTAAGAACTTCGAGTAAACATCTTCATCTAGGGTTTCCGTGACTTGTTGAAGGGCTTTCATATAGTCTTCGTCCAACAAGAGTTTCGCCCACATTTTATTTGGGGTGTGCGCACGTTCAATAGACTTCGTGTAGAGGTAGACGTGGCCTCCAAACTCTCGAATTGTGGCATAGACACTATTCGCAAGAGGGCAATATCTTCGACGGCATTCCCCCATCACATTATGACGTTCTCGACAAAAATTCGTCCGAGCAGTTGCGACTCGGAATGAACAAAACCCGTGTCCACAGTTCGTCCAGATTAAATCATCTGCTTGCATCGATGTTTACTTTTCATGTTCGGCATTTGTTTTGTTAGGGTTTCTATTAAAACAAACAACGCAATGATTTGGTCTTCACTGGTGTGCATTCAGTTATAGTTAATTAATGGTAAATTAATTATAAATTAATAGTATTAATAATGGTATTACTTAATAATAAAAAAATATGAATTAATAGTATTAGTAATAGTATTACTTAATAATAAAAACAATTATAATTAATAGTATTAGTAATAGTATTACTTAATAAGAAAATTAGTATTAATAATTAACACTGAATTCACACACTCACAACAATTCAAAATTCATCCACTCCGGCTTGGGAAGCACTTTCTTCTCATTCGTTGGGCGTCCTTTACTCTTCTCGTCTCTTTGGATATGGGACTGTTCCGGACTCCCAGTGATCACCTCTTCTGTGTGTCGCACTAAACACTTCTTCACCTCTTTCCGCTTCATCCGATTCGTTTTTACGGGATTGACTTCTTGCACTTTTTCGTGTAACAATTCGCCCACTTTATCTTTCTTGTCCGATATCGATATCGCCATTTCTATGATTGGTCGAAGCGAGAAGACGGGTGGAAATTTCATCAGACGTTTTAAGGTATAGTTCTCGTCGTCTCGTTCAAACACGTCATTTCTGAGATAGATGAGCATTGCAAGAAACATGCCTTCAATCAGTTTGAGGTGTTCCCCATATGCAAAGATAGCGTCCCAGACTTCGACAACATCGTTAATATGGAATTCACGCGTGAAGACCATTTTGATCCATCGGATCCCAAAGACTGATGGAATGACATTCTGATTGACCAACAATTGATAATACATACAATCAATCTTCTCAAGTGAATTAAAAAGAGTGTCACACTTCTCTTGGATGTTACTCGCCTTCCTCTTATCTACTTCTTTTTTCACTTCATACACATCACCTAGTTCATTCATCAACGCTTCAAACAGTACATACGCATCATGTTCCATATAATACCGATCTATCAGACATTGCACTACTCCTTTGTACTCCTCCGGAAACGTCGAAACCGATTTCCATTGGATGTGGACTTGTTCAGATAAGTCCGCGTCAATCGCTCGATAGATGATCGCAAGTAATTCGTGAAATCCTACACATCAGCACTACATAGTGACTGAAATAGAATAACATTTTATAATAACATTTCAAATAACATTTTATAATAACATTTCAAATAACATTTCAAATAACATTTTATAATAACAAACCTTGTTGGTAATTCATCGACTGATGTTCGTATGCGTATATGAAAAGCATTTTCCACATCTTTTTTCTAAATTCGGAGTCCGTAAAATAGTCGTACATATTAAAGAGTCGATCCACATCATTTGTGATTCGGCGGTGAATATCTTTAAATTCTGGGGAGGGGTCTTCTATCACTTTAGGGGTATCACCATCGAAATAGATATTCATTAAGTTTTGATACTTCTCTCGTGTCCGTTTTATCACACTAACCCACTCGGGAGTTATCTCTTTGGGATACACTCCAAGCCATATTCGCCACGCTACTGTTCGGAAATATAATCCAGTTAATCCACTCGTAAAAGCTGTCCTCTGTAAAGAGGTCAGCGCCCCGTTTGCAAGGTACGTGTCGTTAAAGATATTCATACTAATTCCAAGCCCAATGGGTGTCCCCAGTGGTTCCATCCACGTTATAATCTATTTAAAGTTCTTCGCGTCGGTTTTTGTTGAATAGTTGTGTATTAATTAATTTTACTATTAACTATAGTTTCGTACGGTAAAGAACTTTGTGATAACATATGTGAGTTACTCATAATCACTTCGGTTAATGCAAATTCCATCTTGTTTAAAGTTACTCTTCGGACCTTCGTGACATATTTGTATGTGCCACTTTTGATTATTAGTTGTATTTCACATATAATTCAACTGTTTCAAAAACGTCCATTATAAAAATAATTATAACGAACGTTTTTGAGTTTTATTTTGTTTTCAACAGTTTGTGTGATTTATACTGTATCATACTTATACTATTATTTTATAATCAAAATAATACAATTTCATTTTTGTAAAAAATGGTTACACAGGTTATCTCCCTTTTTATTCATAATAATAATACTTTACTGCATTTTATATGAAACAATAAGGAAATTATCAGAAAAACTGTTGATTGACTTTTTTATAGTAAAATACTATTAATAAAATAATGGTTAAATTATAGTTGATAGTAGTAAACAAATAACAAAATTGAATTCTGTTTGTTGAAAAATAATTGATGAATTGTGTTTGTTGTGTAATTCATTCAAAAGCCATAAAAATATAAGAAAGAACTATTGACAAATACTATCAAACAATTAATAAGTGTTGAAAAAGACTCGAAAAGCAGAGTTGTACGTTGATGGAAGGGACAATAAAGCCAAGTAACATACGCGCAATCTTTTATATTGATCCGTACAACCCAAAAGCAAAGACTGTTTCCGAGATGTTTAGTTTGCTTCAAACAACAAATGAGGAGGACGCTAATGTCATTTGTGTCTTTGGTGGGGATGGGACATTCCTCCATGCGTTCCACAAGTACGCCGATAGGAAGATTCCCTTTCTTGGGATCAATTGTGGGAATGTCGGGTTTTTGATTAACAGCATTGAGGAGGTCCGCGGGAGTGTCGAGATCGATCGCCCCGTTCGCTGTTATACCCACCCTTATTTAACGGCAACTTCCATCATGGGAGAGAACACTTTACCTCCGGTAAAAGCGTTTAATGATGTTTGGATAGAGCGGAACTGTGGGCAGTGTTGTTGGTTTGAAGTGTCTATAAATGGAGTCGTACGAATTCCAAAATTAACGTGTGATGGATGTATTATATGTACACAAGCGGGAAGTACAGGGTATTCCAGGAGTGTTGGGATGATCCCAATTCCTTATGGTACTCCTCTCATTGGACTTGTTCCTAATAATGCCAGTTTCCCACACGGGATTAAACCTATGTTCTTTCCAATTGGAACATCTATTACTATTAGAAATCTACAACCTTATAGAAGATTTACTAGAGCTTTTTATGACGGGATCGAGATTGGAGAAGTGACACAAATCTCAGTCTGTGTTGTCCAAAACGGTTGCACTACAGCTATGACTCATGATATGGAAAGCACTGACGTGTTCTTGGACAAAACTCTCTCATTTTTTGATTGATTCGATGATGTATAAATAGGGTGCGCAACTGTTGACAAAATATTCTCTGTTTGCCCGTTTTTTAACACAAAAAAATACTTTGCTTTAATTGTTTTATTTTTACAACTAATCGTGATCTTCAAAATCTCGGGATCTGAGATTTTATTAAAAAGATCTGCCATAACAACCAAAAAATCAAAGCTAAAAAAATGAACCAAAAAATAATATTATTTTTGTAATAATGCATTTTAGTTTTATAAATTACTTTTTTACTTTAAAACGTTAATGCCAAAATTATTTAGCATTTTAATTAAAAATCCAATATTTGCGCTTTTTTACCACCACGAATAAATGATATAATTACAATATTTTCAACAATTTCATATGATTGTTATATTCACTTTATATTATGACAACAACAATACTTTCCATTATTGTTGACATTTAAAAACAAAAGAAAACAAGCCAAAATTTAAGTAAAAACAGTATTTGGTAAAACAGTACTTGTTAAACTACAACAAAATTACAAATTGAGTTAAAAAGACAATTAAATGACATTGTTTCTTACTTTTGTTTTAGAATTTTATATATAGACGTTCTGTTTGATCATTCACATGATATAAAAAGTTGTTTGACAATTATTTTGCATTTTTCATGATTATTATTATTTTTTAATAAATGTTTTCAATGATATAAATAAACGTTTTATTGTTGAAGTGATAACCACATAAACATGTGTCATATTATATTTTATCTACATTATAATACAATGTTATTGATAGCAAATAAACAACACCAAATTTCTTTACTTGATAATAATTATAAATATCTCTGTAACTTTCTTGTTTTTTTTTTGGCTCATTGATAATTATATACAAATTAATACCCACAAAAACAAAACATCATCAGTTTCTTGTGGCCGTAAGTTGTTGAAACATACAGAGATTGATGTAACATTTTTATTTACATTTCAACAATCAACCATCTTTGTTTTTATTATTTTTATTTACATATTCAACCTGGTTTTTTGAAATGAAAACTTATCGTCTTTGTTTTTCAATTTCTTAAATGAATAGAATGTCAAAGTCGTCTTTATATACAATAAAATACAAATCACTCGTATCATTTTATTTAAAAATCAATTGTTAATTCATTCTTTTTTATGTCTATCATGTTTATGACAACACAGTTCATATAGCGTTATTAAACAACGTTTTAATGTTT